TCCCGCCCTTGAGGCATTCAGATAGTTATTCCATCATCACGGTGATTTCCATGCCTGTAACTCTGGGCTAATTACTTATAGTAAATACTGCCTGGGTTGTGACTACAGCGTCAACTGGAGCGGTGAGCACAGGGGAGGTACTTTTCATTAATTAATTGTTATTTGGAATCCTCTGTGAATGATTGCAGTCAGTTTGACACAACACAGGAAGAGAGGCGCTATTTTTATCCAAAGTACCTTACTGGATAGCAACAGAGTGGATTTTTGAACATGTTTGAATCAGTTGCAGCCACACAGAGGTACTGTGTAAACTTTAGTTAGGTGCTAAGATTTAGTGGCTAAGCTTCAGTCAATTTAGGCTAACCAAGTGTCTCTTACTCTGTTCTGACTTAGCAATTTCTCATCTGCTTTTCATCCTTAATTCCTCGTGCCACTATACTGAGATTAAATAAAGATTGTGGTTGGGGGAAATATTGATTTTAGTGGCTAGAATGTTAGCCGATTCTCAAGAGCTTTTTATAGCCATTAGCAATGGTTATTCGTTCCCTGGGATGCATTGTGTTACATCTAACGAGAGTGTAGAAGCGGATGGCAAGATTGTAATCAATAGAAGCATTAATACTGTTTGCCCTGTGTGCCTTTCCTCCTCACACGGATGACCGCTGTCTTCCTCTTTTCGGTGAAACCACTGCTATCATGAGTTCAGCTCATGGGTCAAATATGCTGCAGTCACCATATGATGTGCTCATAAGAGTGCACCAATAAAACCGTAGTGGAAAGGTTAGTCATAGGAAACAGCTTGCTGACTACTCTAGGCCTGCCATATGCCTCAAGTAAACAGAGCTAAAAGGAGATATTATTCACAGTGGGACCTAATGAGGAGCTGAATGTAGAAAAAAGGGGGGACCTGACAAGTGTAGAGGCTTTGGTTACCCTTTTAACTGATAACTATCTCTCAAATGGACAGAGACGAGCGCACCTGTACTTCAGACATTTGTATAAGAGAACAAATAGTGTATTTTATTACCTGGCAGATGATGGAACTTTATCCGCCTCTGAGGGGTTTTAAGGTGGAGTTTGATGAACAAACATGTGTGAGCGATAACAAGCTTTTGACAAGCTTTTATGGGATTATGACCCTTATCTGGAAATTCTAGAAGACCTCTATAAAATAATATACACGGTCAGGCTCAAGCACGCAGGTACGTGCACATAGGTATCCAAAGAAACACGCTTTGCCTCAAGTTAAAGGCATGCGATTCGATGGGCTGGGTTACCTGTCCGGTATCTGCTATCCAGGTTTTGGGCTGGATTCTGTGTATCAAGTGACGGTGGGTCAGACATGCACTGGGAGTCAGATGACTTTGTGGTCAGACGAAGATCTGATCCATGAGAAGGTGGATTCTCTGACTCAGGTTTTCTTTGTTTTCCTAGTGTCAGGTGCCTGCTGGAGACCACAATTTAATGATGAAGGAAGGAGTCAGCTGGGATGTATGAGCTTAAACTGAAAGAATTAAAGGGTTAATCTATTAGGCAATCCACTAAAAATTAATTAACAACTACAGTGATAGTCAGTTAATCATTTGAGCCATTTAGTGCAACCATTGCTGCTTCCAGGATCTCACTTATGAGTAGGTGGGTTTTTTGTCATGCACTGCTGAGTATTTGTTATAAATCAAACTATTCAATTAGAACACTGTGAGTTCTGGAAGAAGTTGTGTGTTTTTTTACTGGTGACATGTGGAGAGTCTAGACCTCCCACCCCGAGACCCTGAAGTGGATAAACGGTTAAGAAAATAAATATGTGTTCCTTTTTTTAACTTCTTCTGATGACAATAAAATAATCTATTATTAACAGAAACAATATGGTGTATCAAATTGTTTTCATCATAGAATTACATTAATCATTACATTGATTGAGATACTTTTTAAAAATATGTACTGGCCACTCATAGTACAGTGGTGATTTATAAAATATAATCAATCCAATGTTTTAGTCAGAGAGAGAGAGAGAGAGAGATAATAGCCAATCTCTCACACTTAACACAAATGCTAGATCTCTCTGGCTTGATTGTTTTTGGCAGCATCATTTCCTACAACTCAACTGGGAGCACTAAAACAAGGTATGGTACAATATTGCTGCATAATATAACACTTTGTCACGCCATCTGCTGTTTCCAATTTCTTTGAATTACAATATGTTCACGAATACGAACATCAGAGTGAGGCCAAACTAAGAACACAGAGTCACGGTTTGTAACAGCGTGAGTATTTCTGCAATTACAATTTTTGGCAGTGTGGCGAATTTAGCATTTTCCCCCCCTCTTTGTGATGTGGAGAAAAGACATATCACTGTGATGTAAGTAGATCTGATTGCAGGGTGTGCTCTGCGTTTCCTGTTGAAGCATATTATAGATCTGGTTTGCTACGTTCAAGCAGAGAAGAACATTAAGTGTTCACTTGAACCCATCTGATTGTGCTCCTGCCCACCCACCCTGCAGCCTGAGGATGTAAGCTATAAGCTGCAGTGGTGGATCACAAAGAGCCATTGAACAAAACTTCCTCCCCTAACCAGATCAAATATATAGATAAGACAAACAAACTCGTGTCGGGTGCCCAGCCAATTCATCTGATATTTCCCCCGTCTCCGTTTCAGTCAGTATGGCTGCTCTTGAATGTAGCAGGTTTGTTGTGTTAGCCTTTAAGGTGTAGAGATGCACAGGAAAGTATCAGGTCACGAGAAAAGCGGATCTACCTGCCTGCAGGTAGATTGAGAAATATTACTCGCAAGTACAGTTTGTCCTTGTACACATACAGATATTTTGGCCAGGTAAAACAAGCCAGGACAATTTAATGACACCTTTCATAGCAAGTGCCGTCCCGGAGTTGCATTGCAGTGCAATCGGACAATGAAAACGTATCGGTTTCATTCGTTTTTGTTCCCGTTGCTGTCTGCCTTGTTTGTGTCTCTTAAGCTACTGTCGTTGGCTCACAGAAGCGGCTCCGTTCTTGCTATTTAGTCTCTACAAACCTGTTGTCAGTACAACGCAAACTGTTGTGCATAAGGAATTTTCTCCAAGAAAAAGTCAGACTTCCACCGAGCTGCGGTAAACTGCAGTTTAAATTAGATCTGTGTTGTAGTGTGAACTTTTCTATTTTAGTTTGAAAATATCGAAGAAGGAGGAGAACGTTTTCATCCTTCTTAAAGATGTCAGCTGTTGACATGCTGTACTCTTTGTGTGAGGAGGTGGACGAGGGGAAGAGAAATAGATCTGTCTTTGCTGGAGGTTGGCTTCTCAAGTGCACAGTATGGCACTCTCATAGTTGAAAGCGTGTGCATGTTTTTGTGTGAACATGTGTGCAAGTGTGTGTACATCAAAGTTTTCATTTCATGTTCCGTGTTCTCTGTACTTATGCCCATACCCTGCTGTGAGCTCGTGTGTACTTTACCTGTGCGTGTGCGTGTGTGTGTGTGTGAGTGAGCGTCTTTGCTGCTGACCCCTCATGAGCTGAATATTGCAATGCTGGGAAGGCAGAGCCAGGCAGACCAGGCTAGAGCACCAGAGGCGAAACAGGGCAGACAGCCTGCACACAGACCCTTCTTTATACCCCATTAATAACACAATTCTACGAAGGACAGCCTGAGGCCACAGAAGGTCTGTCAAGGTAGTTCATTGTGTGGTAGGAAGTGAGTTGTTCATATGGTAATAGCTGCTGAAGCGGGTCCCTTCAAAGCCCGTTTGTTTTACTGAAAGTTGTAGTCACTCACTGAGTGGGACTGGATGGAATGTGACAGGGTGCACTGCTGTTTAGTTACTGTAGCTTAATTGACCCTGAGAAAGGCGAGTGAAGGCGGAGGGGGAGGGTGGAGGAGGCTGGGAGAAGACTGAGTGCAGAAAGGAACAGAGGAAGAGGGAGGAGAAAGAAATGGACAGGGCAGTAGGGGGCAAAAACTGAGAACAGATAGAGAAAGGGAAAAAAATGAAAAGAAACAGAAAGAGAGAGAGAAAGAAAGAATGCTACTTCTGCCATAATGAAGCTCTCCAATGGAATCTGTTTAGTCGACAGGAAAAGTCTTATTGGTGAACGCGCAAGTCCCTTTTTCTAATGAGCCGGCTTGTCTAGAATGATCATCTTTCTAATTATATACTTCATTCTTATTTATGGTTTGTTTATCGGATGCTGATCCGCTGTTTCATTTTCTGGGTCAGGGAAAAGCTGAGTCTTGTCTTTTCTCATTAGGCTACATTAAGGAAACGGTCAAAAAGATGCTGTGCCCCTGCAGGGAAGCGGATGTGAACGTTTTTGCAAAACAGCAATATCGTCACCAATGTGAGATAATGCTAATGTCTACACCAGAAGTGAGAAAAGCCTTTATGTCTTCGAGTGAAAACTTGGCTCACACACAGCAATCAATATTAAGAAAAGTAGAAGGGACAAAAAAGTATAAAAACAACAGTTGATGCAATATATATATATATAGAGAGAGAGACAGAGAGTGAGAGAGACAGTGCTGCATGAGTAAAGCGCTGTTAGAGACATTGTGGTTCAAACAAGAGTGAAGATATGCTGCAAACTGCCATCAAGTTACCAGGTAAAAACATTCTCACCACAAACGGTCTCCTCAGTTTATCTTCTTCAGCTGAGGAAACCATTAATGAACAAAACATTGTAGCTTTAAAGCAGAGCGAAGAACAAGAGAGGGTGAACATCTGCGCTGGATGTACGTATGTGTGCCTGTGCCACCGGATACTTCTCAAAGTAGTAATGGCCTTAATTGCAATTAGCAGATATTTTTTTTTTTTTAATTTTTTTTTAAATATCTGGAGTCATTAAAGTTCTTAAAAAAAAAAAGTCCATACCATATGTGTTAATCTTATTCTAATGTCTGCTGTAGAACTGTTGTCCCTTAATAATACAAGAAAAAGTCTTAAACTGTGTGTGTGAGTGTGTGTGTGTGTGTGTGTGTGAGTGTTTGGGGGTGTGTGTGCGTGCACGCACGCTTGCGTGTGTGTTTGACTGTTTGACATTTGCCTGAAGCCATTACTAGGTAGGTCTAATCTGACAGATATGATGGATGATTACTCAGACACAGCACACATGCTCTAACAGTACACACACGAACCTGTTGTGCATGAGCTACATTGTCACCTTTCTCTCTGGTTTTATACTCAAAACTCTAATTAGAAAAATAAAATAAAAAATATTGGCCAAGGCTCCAGACAGACAGAAAAAGTCAGAAAAAAGCTCCTGTCCCACTTTTCTATCTCGTCCGTATGAAATCTGTCTTCTGTTTCTACTCTCCGGAGGTCATGAGCTAACCAAAAATGTACAGACCTCAGCAGACCTTGGTCAGCCTCTCCATTATTTGGGTTAAAGCTGAGCTCCAATCGGTAGAACTATTTTAAGGCATCGGCTGCTGCTCGCCCTGTACTTCCTATCGCTCTCTCTGTGGAAACACGGAGTCATTGATCTATTGCCTAGCAGCCCTCCTGCACTTCCCCACCTCTCAGTGAGAACCCACAAAGCAGCTTTCACCTTCAGATGGCATACCGGCTATACTGTAAGGTAATGAAATACCATTGTGGAAGAAGACCAGGTGAAAATGCTTTAAGTGACACCGTCACCTTTACATGACAAAGACCTGAGCCTCAGCAGAGGTTTCTGTTTTGTGTTTGGTACACCGCAACTGTGAATTGTAATTCATAAATTACAGTCTCTGTGACACTTGCCCTGTGTAACATTTGAGAATATAAAAGTATTCCTCAGGTATGGGAACTGAAACAAAGATAAAATGCTGCCTGACTCTCCAGCCAAGCATTAAATAGCCTGGCGGAGCACAATTGCTGATGATGATGAACAAAGAGCCCATGCGCCTCACTTGGAGAGCGTTCTCTGTTTCTGTTTTGCTGTTCAGAGCGGAGCCTAGTTTTTTATTTATTTATGTATTTTTTATTAAATGTCTTTTTGGAGAGGATCATTTAACTGAAGCATGACCTTGTACATGTTTTTATTCAATAAACCTCTACAGCACATAAGATTTAAACTTCTTTCTATGGAAAATTTATGATGCAATTTCATGATGTTTTAGGAAAGACTGCTAAAGTGTCACTTAAGAGAATTTCAGAAAAATATCATTATTATGGTTCTGTTCATACCTAGCGTTATTATGGGTCTTGGAGGATTCAGTCACCAGTGGATAGCTCTAAGTAAGCTAAAATGCACAAATGCATGCAGGATGTATTGAGGATGCAATGAAATCCGATTGCTCAGACCAGGTGGAAGGTGTCCTGGATCTGGTCTGAGCAAGCTGGTCTTTCTTTTTTAACTGGGAATGTTGACAACACATCCTTTTATGCCTCAATAACCCTATATCAAATAACAGAACATATCGATTTTATGTTGCAGTTAAGTAAAGTAAGTGAACCTATGTGTCTGTATATTTTGTTACAGTGGATTGTGGGTCTTATTCCAACTGACTGGAGCAAGTCTAAATGATAATTTCAGGTAACAGGCATTTCCCAAGTGTGGCTATATAGTATGTATAGACAGATATTAGCTGAAAAAGAGAGCTTGTGTAACAAACAGCTACTTGAAGTCTTGTGCACAAGGCTCTCTTCTTGCAAACAGCTGAGCTAAGATGCATGTAAATGCATGACCGCAGCCTATCACAATAATGCCTGACAGTCGGGACTTTTTTTTGCCTTACTTTGATCAGATGGGAGGTCGCCGTAAAAGCTTAACCTGTCTTGGCTTGTCAGTACTCAGTTCATTGGACAGGAGGATGAGCAGCAGGAGAAAGGATTGCTGGAGAAAACTCATGTCCATAAATATCTCACATTCATCCTCTTTTCCTCCGGTCTCTCTCTGTTTCTCCCTTCTTTTGTGTTATGTTCTCTTAGCTCTCTGCCAATGGCCAGTCTAAAAAAGGTGAGAACAGAAAATGGCACGTTTAAATCTGTGTGTGTATGTATGTGTGTGCGTTCATTAATTAGACTGTCTGCTTGCTTCTTGGGCGCCTTATCTCTTAGAGAAAAAGTCAATGCATTCAAACTGTTTTTCAAAAGGATGAGGAGATGAATGTTAGCGTAGTTAAGAGGTGTGGAGTTTTAAATTCAGACAAAAATCTCTTGAGTCTGTGTCTGAATAATTTTTGTATCAAGATAATTTTGACTTACAATTTTGACTCATGAAAACCTTTATTTCATCTATAAGCAGGAAGAAATGAGCCTTTTCCTGCAAATTAAGGCCCCCCCTTAAAAGCTAATCCATCTCCGATAAGCACTTGAGGGAGGGGCACGTAACAGTGATAATGCAACTATTGAGACATCTCGTCACTGTGACTTGTGTTACGGTTCACCAGCAATCACTGTGTTCATTCAAAGGTTCACCCTGCTCCTACTCAGTCACCACTTTAGTTTACATAGCTTGTCCAGCCATGTTGGGTTCCTGTTGCAGACTCTCCTGCTATGTCTTTGTTTGTTTTGGTAATGGATTCCAAGTTGGTATTGTTGCTTATGTCACTTGGTGATTGATGGGAAAAATTCACCTTCTCTTAACCCCCCCTTCACCTCCCAAAAGCCATCCTTGTGTGCCTTGCGGGGTGAACACACAGTAAGTTCCATCGCATTCTTCTGACAAAGTGACTCGCTGGCATCCGGATGCTCGCTTTTTGGACCAGCGAGCCGTGTCTTTAAATCAAGAAGGCTCTTCTGAAAACAAGGTGGAATCTGTGTGGCTGTGACAGTGTAACTTCCAAAGCGAAGGCTGAGATTATATGCGTGGACGGTTTGGGGGTCTTTCTATTCATCGCCCTTGTCGCCCCATGGAGAAGGACTAATTGGTGGCCCCAAAGAACCCCCTGTTTTGTCCCCGCTGCTCACAAAGGCATCTGGGTGCGGTCGCGTAGAGGATGGGGGTGGAGGGATGCAGCAATGGCGATGGAGAGAAGAGCAGGTTTCCCATAGAATAGTTGGCTGAGATGAACTTGAGCTGGGGAGGAGGGGGGTCCTCACACCACTGGGTTTGCAAGGGGACATGACACACTCGTTCACTCACCCACTCACTCATTCACACGCTCACACATATACACCCTCAGTGGGGGATTCTGGTGCCAGTTGCTGGCCTTCTAGTCTACAAATGATCCTAGGCTGACCCACATAGTCAGCCATGTGTGAGGCTTCCCTTTATCCCGAAGCCCAGTTGAAACACTGAGTTATGGGTGTTTTCTGGTGCTCCCTGCCTTCTCGGCTGGGACTGCACAGGGGCCCCATGTGGGACGACATTGTTCACCCCGACCCAAGGACAATGAAGCTGTTGGCTGGGCTGAGAGAGAGAGAGAGAAAGGGAGGGGAAAAAGATGGGTAGAAGGGAAAAAGAAAGGAGACAGAGTGAAATAGATTGCGATGGACAGCCAATAGCTGGAAAGAGAAAGAGTGGATGAGTGGCTCAAATGGAAAGATAGGAGGTATAGAAAATGATTGGGGGGAGAGATTACACCTTTGGTAACAGAAGAAGAAGAGATACGAAGGCAGTAAGACAGATGGTGAGATTGACAGCGAGCTAAAGACTGAGCCAGTATGAGAAAGTATTGATTGCAGCGTGTGCTGGGTGTCTTCAGCTGTCGTGGCTGATCCAGAGCGAGGTCGTTAGTGTCTGCGAAGCATGGAGCCACGGACATTAGTGGCTCTTTAACAAACTCTGTATTGATTGGGACTTAGAGGAAGACTTACATGTATACCAAGGGATAATGTCCTGTATGTAATTAGCACCAAGGCTGTGACGGTGACATTGCACAGGACGTAAAGAGGGAAACCTTCAGTTGCAAGAAGAAAAATGCACTTTTTTAAAAAAAAAAAGAAAAAAGTAAAATCTTCATTTGATCATTTCTCATTTAGCAATTTTATGAGGCTTTTAGCCTTTTCACCTTCACCAATAGTCAATCTATATTCATGCATTTATGCTGCTAAAAGCAGCCGATGAAGCTAATGCCAATAGTTTATCTTAAAGGCATAAAAAGGATAAATCAGAGAACTGGAGCTACAAAGGTTTCAAGGATCATTTAATTTGTTCCTATTCCCTTCTCACCACCATAATTTCTCCCTCTCCAATTGAACATGATTTGTGGCTGGACTCGGCTCTCAAAAGAGGGCAATTTAATTGACAAATGACTTTGAAGCTAATCCAGTGATTGAGGTGACTGAGAGAAAGTGTTGACTCATATGCAGCGCAGCAGGTCAAGCACACACAATTAAAAAGTGTATATTTACTGATTCTGTTGCTGTTTTTTTCACGTGTGCTCGCCTGATATTACACTGTTGCTTCTTCCACTAGGATGAAATTCTTTTTCTTTTCAAATATCATACAATGTGTGGGAGTCGTCTATGTTATGTGTAGCATATATACATATATATGTGTCTGCTTGTCAACACAGACACACACATCCACGCACCCTTGCTGAGTATGATGTTTATATTACCCGAGACAAGCAGATTCATCTGTGAGACGTCTCTTTCTTGAAGTAGTTCCTCTGAGCTATTTGTTTTGACATTTTGCAGCATTGGCATCCATAGGTACAGTTGAAAGATGGTGCTGAATAGGATGATAAAAGCTGCTGGTTCCTGCAGCAGTACAACAGGCAGCTGATGTATGTCACCTGTCATGTTTTAGGTGCATCTGGGAAGATTAAACACTTGTTCGTGTGGGACAGTAAAGAGTCTGTGGACATTTTAGTCTGCATCTTTGCAAAGAGTTTGGCATCAAAGGCTTTGTTGCAGTTAATTGCTTGTAGCATTAAAGAATGTACGACAAAGTACTGATTTCAAGGCTTTTCGTGTGCTTCAGTCAGTGGCACTTCTGCGTTGCCTCATTTGAGTTCTTATTCTCAGCTCATATTCCAGCTTCTCCTCAGTTTACCACATAACCTAAATAAAAACAAAGGAATTGATGGTTTTTCTCACTGTGTGCGTGTGTGTGTTTGCACGTGGGAGCGGTGTCACTGATTAATGATCTTCATATGCATCTTTCAGCACACATACATGCACACCAAACCAAACCAGTAGCTCATGATCAAAAGCTTAGACTTAAGTGCTGTGTGTACGCAGCATGCTCGCTTCTGGAACCCATTTTAGAGTGGGGTAAAACCACATGAAAGGTCTGCCCCTATCCTCAGACCCTTATCCCCATCCCTCCATTTTTTAAATCCCTACCTCCTTCCTTCTATTGCTGTTAGAAGATTAGACAACTTTACTGGATCTTATAATCAGAGATGTCAACCACAGATTAAAATACCCAACCGAATGCATTTTGATAGCTCCCAAAAAAGAAGGAGACATATGCAGGTCATTACGCTTTTTCCTCAAAGACAGCTGCTGCCTCTGGATCTCAGGACTCCCTGAAAGTCTCTGGCATAAATGGAAGGTAATTACCATATCAGAGATCAAGACTCTGGGCTCTGACACCACTTTTTCAATTACTCAGAAAGGTTGTTAAGATGCAAATTCAACAAAATGGCTCAAACCCCCAGAGAGGGATACAGTTTCACACCCAAAGCTGCTTCTTAAGTTTCTTAGCTCATCACATTTTGACAGACAAAGAGAAAGATAGAGGCAGAGATAGACTCTGGGTGGGGTGATGCAGGCGATCTATAATTCATTCAGTTTGTTAGCATGACGACTCAACGTCTGTCATCTGAACACAAACTTAATTTTAATTGTGCGCTCTTGGCAGCGGGTCTTCATTTTAAAGCATGAAAAATCACCGCATTCAAACTCGATTCGGGTCTAACTTTGTGATGACACTGTGGACGGGGGAGAGGAGAATATGGTTTTTCACATTAAATATACACGAGAAAGTTTGGCTGTCCTTAAACCGAGGTCTGTATTTCCCCCTTAAAACTTCGCAAGTGTCTCCATGCCATTGCATATGGAGGCAACTCATTCCGACTATCCGTTCGTTTGCTTTTCAGAGTTCTAATATTTGGTTTTCTTGGATTATGTCTTGCAATGTAGATGAATTATGCAGCAGCAATGTACAGTATAGTACATCTCTTGCTATAGTTATGCAAATCTGGGATTCTGCCCTTAGCGCAAGCTCAGAGGAAATGATTTGCATTATATGTAAGGTGGATGTTGGAAAGATAATAAACAAAGTGGACTCAGTCATGACAAACTGGATGTGGACAAAATAAAAAAATGTCCACATTGGATAGAATGAAATAACAAAAAAATCTCTTGTTTTGTTTGTTAAAGCTGAGCATGTAACTCACTTGTTATAAATAACATAGCTTCTGTACAGTTTCCTTGCACTGACTAAAACATAAAGAAATCCAAAGAATATTTTATTTTGTATGGCCTGTTAGGAAATTGGCTCTAGGTGTAAATTTGAATGTGAATGGTTGTCTATGCGTCAGAGTTAGAGTACCCTGCCTCTCGCCCTGTGACAGCTGGGATGGGCCCCAGCCCATTCCTAACCCTGAACTTAATAAGTGGAAGAAGATGGAATGATGGCTGTTTACTTCTTATGAGTCCATTTTGATTAAATATCTCTACAACAAGAAGATCTGAGGGTTTACCAGTGGGAACCAACAGAAACTGTAATTTTGATGCTGTCGAAAAGCTGAAAAATTTGTTTTCGCTAACCGCCTGCCTGACGGTCTAGGCGACTGACCAACATTTGGCGTCCTTACAAACCCAATGCTCTTGCTACCACTGGGCTAGCAAGATCTGACTGATATGAACACTGAGTGAAACTGGCATACCCTGTGTTTGTGCTAATTTCACAGTTTCAAGGCACTGAAAAAGAAGAAGAAAAAAATCAAGACCTTTTTAGAAAATGTTTTTGAGAGGACTAGATGGTGCATCTTTATTGAACTTTAAGAGGTTTTTTTTTCCACTAAAGCTACCAGTGGAATAAAACCAGATATAAGAATGATCACGGCTGTACAGGGAGACTTAGAGGAAATCATCAGAAGAAGTTACTAAAAGATATGGCAGACTCTGGTTGGACTGGTGCTGCCAGGAATGCTGGGAACACTCTATATATCTATGTGTGTGTGTGTGTGTGTGTTCATGGGTGTACATTTGAGTGCCAGGGCCTGGAGGAGGGAAGTCTCTTGCTGAGGTCATGCCATGTAAGCCTCTCCTCTGGGGCCCACCCTGCCTGGCAGCCACACACACACACTGGAGCTAGCTCCACACGGAGACTTGAGGAGACTCCGCGGCTTTGTGCTATGAATGGCTCTCTGTTGACTCTGTGTTTCCCTCATCATGATGGCCTCATTATGACGGACCTGAATTGTGTTGGCTTGGATGTGTGTGTACGTGTGTGTTTTTGAGTAAACTGAAAAAAGGAGGAGAAAAATGAGAAGAAGATTGACAGATCCAGTGACACAAAGGCCTTGATGTGCGTTCATGTGCAGCATGTTCATTCAGTGTGTGCATCTGTGTGTGTGTGTGTGCTCAGGGGGTATTCACATTTACTAGAGTGCTGGAGTGTATCAACAGGATGTTTCTTCTCGGTGAATACTTTTGGTAGGATGTCTTTATATAGTGAAAGAACAGGACTCCTACAGTTTCAAGGAAAGCACTGAGGGGCTTATGTAATAATTCATTAAACTACATATTATACATCAAGTTTGCTTTCTATTGTTGCTCCTGTGCCTTGTGTTTCCCTTGACAGTCTACGCAGAGGATTCATGCATTATGCAGATCACACAGGGGGACTGGTTTGCTGTGAAAGGGGAGAAAGAAAAACACAACTCCATTGCGAATTATTACAATACATACACTCAACAACACTTATATTTCAAGAAAGAAAAGGCATGAGAAATGTAATAATTGGAGTGAAGTTCTTTTTACTTCTCCCTTGCCAAATGCAGTTTTTTATACAATAAAAAGACTTTGGTGGCAAGAGGGGATTTATTTGTATTTCCATGCCAGGCTTTTCAGTGCCAGTCTTTGTTTTCCTTTAAGTAAACAGGAGTATATCCCATGAGCAGTGCCCTCTCTTTTCTCACTTCTACTTTCAAAATCCCCCCTCGCCTCCGCCTTCTATAGCCTAGCACTTATCTCTTTACTCCCTTGTGTAGATTATTTGTAGTGCCTCATCTCCTTACCCCTGATCATTCTCCACACATTCATAAGAAACCCTTATGTTTACACCCAAGTCTGCTCCTGCGTGCCCTACTTTCTCCTCCCTCTTCTCTCAAGTCGCGTCATCCCCTGTGTACTCCCCTTTTTCTCATTGCACATTTGTGCTGCTCCCCATGGACAGAGCCCTCCCCATGGCCCTTCACCTAACCCAATTCACACATTGGTGGCATTGCAGCGGCATAATAACTTTTAATCGGCACAGTCTTCCCTGTGCACACGGTACTTTCATGATGGCCTTGGCTCCACTCCTGAAACAGGCATTTCTGATTGTCGCTCTGAGTGAGCATATGCCTGTCTCCTACTTGATTAAAAGAAAGCCTGTGCACATGATAAAGGAGTGTGAGGTGAGAAAGATGAAGACAGAAAGTGAGCAAAAGATGCTACAGGGCTAAAGTAGGGAAAGGAGAAGTAAACAAAGAGAAGGGGGACCGTAATCTTACACAGAGTTTCAGAACGTGGGCGAGCCAGCAGTAGACGTCACCTTTGCTTTTAAAATAGTTAATCTGCTCCCAGAGGGACAATGACTGCTTTAAGTCCCCCTCCCTTCTCCCTCTCTCTTTTCTAAGTCCCTCCCCAGGGCTAAACCCCTCGGTGGCACATTGCACGGATTAGCTTGTGTTGTTGTTGCATCTCTTTAGCTCTAGTCTATAGCACCAGCTATAGATGCAAATACAGCAGTTAAACTTTTTAAACTGGCAAATCCACACACAGGAGTTTATAATTGTGGATAGAAGGGGCTGGCAATTTTGTAATCTGAAGGCGTATCGGGTGTTAATACACAGAGTAAAAAAAGACATGAACAGTAACTGGCTTTTTTCTTAATATGTAATGTTGCATTGCTTTTACACAACATCAATACTTCCGACTTGCCCTCACTACTTGTCTTGTTGTTGCACTTGAATGGAAAGCAAAAAGAAAACTGCTCTGTTGAAATGTGGATCTATCTCATATTTGTGAACACAGCCACCAGGGCACTTAGTTTTGCAAATAAAAGTATTTGGGTTCTTGCCCAGTGATGTGCTCTGGTTGTAATTTGTATGCCAATTTATTGAAACTGCTTCAGCCTCTGGTTTGAGGGGTAATTTTACCTTGAGCCTTTCTGAAAAATGAAAGGCAGATGGGGTTGGTTGAATTCTGATTCTTACCACAGAACAATACTACCATTACTGTAGCTGATAAACTGTAACATCACTGAGCATAATGAAATGACATGTCTCGAGATTATATCTGTATGCCCTCTAGATTATCTATTCCATTTGGATTAATACTGTGTACTAAATTCATTTTAATGTAAACTTATAAAGTCAAATGTAATTAGAGAGAATGCAGCTCTGTGAGTCCTGTGGCCCTCATCCAACCCCTGTCCCCTAGAAATTACATTTATGTACTACTAATTTGTTTTTCCAATTATGGTTTGTTAGGCAAGGTAATTGTGGCCTGGATTATGTTACCTGCCAATGTTTTTCTTTTTTGTTCTAGGAACTATTACCTTTTTGTACTGAACATAAGCCATAAGGATGCGAGTGACGCAGGCTTTCTGTGTTGGAGTAAAAAATTAAGTGTAATTACTTCCTTTTGAATTTAGGTTGAAGGGCTTTATCACTTCCGGATAAAGAAACCTATCACCTTAGACCTCTGTCCTCCTTCACCTCATTCAGCCGACCTCGTCTGAGTCTTCTGTGCATGCTTGCGGTCTGCTCTGCTGCTGCAGCACGAGGGGATTAGCTGCCGCCGCTACCATTGGTCACCAAGGTAGCAACAGTGCCCATAGCAATTCAGAAGGGCTATTTTGCTCCCCAGCCGCAGTTTGACAACACTTCACTTGTCAGTTTCGGTCTTTTGACAGATGTAGAAATGGTGTCAAAGGGCACGTGTCTGTGTTCTTTTGCAGACATGTCAGAAGCAGGCACACCTCTGTGTGCTTGTGATTGATTTTACAGTAATGGCTTGGATTCAACATGACAGAAGGATACAGACTTTGAGTCTCTTTTTACTTGCTTGTTGCTCTAACCCCCCCCAGGAGAGGAATTCGTTTGAACAAGCTTTAATTAAAGACAGCTGCTGGTCACACAATATTCTCACTTGCTTCAGCTGCAGATAACATTCGACACAAATCCCGCTTTCCTGTTTGCTTACTTAATTCCAATAATACGTGTGTCCTTCCGATTAAATATAGTTAAAAGTGGCGATATGAATCTGGACCTTCTTGTTAAATCTACCATCATACAACCACTAAAACACCTCATAAGCATCCATTGTAATTCCATCCTTACCTGTCAGTGTGGGATTTTAATTCATCACATTAATATGCCACGAGAGAATGAACCTCTACAGTATCATTTCACAGATGGCTTATCTTTGCAGGAGAAAAATGAAAATGAAAAATGAAGTCTTCTGGACTGTCGCACTGAATTGGTTCGTCACAAACTAAAGGGACTACCAATTAACAACCCGAAAGAGAGAAACAAAGACAATAAACGATTTGACATGCAGTGTTAAATGTTATTTGCACATGCTAATGACTATTATTTATTCTGGTCAAAGTTTTCCTGTAAAATCGGACTTAGATCAGAAACAATGGGCAGTCCTGCCTGTAGTCAGCATTGTGTGATTACATTTTTGAATTTATAACCTGCAGTTACTTACTACATAAGATATGGGATTGGCTGATTGTGGGATTTATTTATTTATCTTTTATCAAAAAAATTCTAAAACTTTTACAAAAAAGTAGATTAAGAGAATGGATTGACACTAAAGGACTTATTTTACATAGTTTTAGCACTTAAAAATGGCTTAGAAAAAGAAGGAACTCAAATGTACACAGAAAAACAAGCCTGAAAAATTAGTCCAAGACAGGTATATCATTGTGTTTCATCGGGTTAAGTCCAAAAGTCTAATGCTAATTATCTCATTGTCATTGTACTAGCCTTGTTTTGCAGATTTAGTTTTAAAGTAACAATAGTAATCCGTAGATCCTCCTTTAACAATGAGACTAAATGTTGTGGAGGATCCGGACTGCAGCACTTAAGCTTTTAAGTTAATTACACAAAGACAAAGTTTGCATTTACACAAGCACACCATGGTGTGTTTTTTTTTGTTTATTATTGCTTCAAAGACAAAAAAAAGAAGCCAATTTTAAAAGTCCCTGCACCTTTTTTTTCTAAAATATTAGAAAGAAATACACAAAGTGCAGCTTTTCCACTGTTAAGGTTGTTAAAGTCTCTTCAAACAAGAAGTCCTCCAAATTCATTTCGGTTAAGAGTCTTAAGCCTCATTGTTTGACAAGACATCTCCTTTGCATTGTTTTCTGTTTAAAAATTGCATGTCAATGGAGTTAAGTGCACAAATGGTTAAATGGTTTAAGTTACCGGATGAGCAACTTGATCCTCTTATGTCTTTAGGGGTCCTGACTCTGTCAGTAAAGCACAGATTTCATTGTTGCAGCTAGCAGACTGTAAAGTGCTGTCTCTCAGGTTTTCTGTGTGATTGTGTGCACGTGAAGGTGTGTGAGCATGTGTGTGCATGTGCGTGGTGCTACAGCCACTGTCCTTGGATTAGTGATGGTGGTGGTGCTGCTGGTGGTAATGGTTTGGACGGGATCATATCTGGTTGGATGAGAGGATTGGGTGGAGGGATGGATGTGAGGGAGGGGCAGGGTACTCCAGGGACTCATAGTAAGAAGACAAAAGAAAGGAAAAATGAGGAGAAAAAGTTGGTCTATCCTCCTCTTTGTTTCCCTCAAAGGCCGGTGTGACAGCAGCTGAGGCCTGCTTACTGCTTTTGCATTTCAGTTGAGTGGAAATCTGAACCCTGAGCAACCCCTGTCCCTCTCCTCCTCTATCTCTTTTTCCCTCTTGCTCCTTCATTTGGTGTCTCCAGTTCCATTAGGTTGATTTACGTTATTCAGACAAACTCATTAATCACGTTTTCCCCTGGATATAATCTGTTTGTCAATCTGAACCCTGGCGAGTAAGAGGGGAGTAAACCCCAAAAAAGGAGGAGTGACTGAGGTAAGCAAAGACGAGGTTGACAGATGGATAATGTTCCACAGGAGGGTCACTTGGACTAAATAACCAAACTGTGATTACGTTCATCTTTATAGATATTTTGTCTGGGTGAGGAGAGCCAGGCTTGCGTTTATCTCAAGAGCCAGATGGACCAGAGTAAGATAGAGAAACATCAAGAGAGGACATGAGAGGTAAAGCCAAAAATGGGGGCAGAAATGGGAATGAAGAGGAAACCTGGAGACAGAGGGAGGGAGATGGAGGGGAGAGACATGTGAAGTCGAGGGAGGCTCCAGTCCCAGTCTTTTAGTCGATGATGATGAATTACTTTGACAGAGACAATCAGGATGAAATGTTAATGCGAGTGTGCTGGAGGATGCAGTCTCAGCCAGACTAAGTCCTCCTATGGGGAAATGAGATGGTTGGTTACAGCACAAACACACAAACACAGGCAGACATACTGAAATGCACACACATGCGCCCAGAGATACATACAATAATAGAACAAACCTCTGGAGAAATGGCAGTTATATTTGCTGGCCGCTAGTTTGTGTATGTACTGGCGATGTGCTAGAGTAAGCAATGAAATGTATGAAATGCCACCGCTCTCCTGACCTCTGTATACAAGTAGGTGTGCATATGTCTGGTTAATGTTTACTTCAGGAACCAAGGAGAGATTTTTATACAGTGTAACAGAGGCTGTGTGGGCCGCAGGGTGTGCTGTCACAAAACAACAGAAAACTTTAAAGCGTGAACACATCCCGCGCTCTCTGTTTCCGCTCACTTGCTTACTTTACAGTGACGGCTGATTCTCAGCAGCTCATTGTCAAAATACTTTCCTTTTTCAGATTTAAAAAAAAAAATCATGCAAAAAAGGCCTGGATCTATGAATGAGTCTGAACAGATCCCACTAACTATTGCACTGCTATGAAAGGGCATTCCTGGACTTCCGAGGAATAACCCCACTACACTATTAATCATCTGGTTGTTCATCATGATCAGTTTCCAGTTGAACATAATAACATAATTGGTAATTTCCCAAATTTTCCTTTGTTGCGACTATCATTTAAAAAAAAAAAGTGCAATCCACTGTTTAATGAGAAGTTACTGAACTAATTCCACTTCTATCACTCTGAACTTTCCCTTGTGCTAATTAGCAAATCTTGGCGTTACTATGATGGCCCTAACTGCCAAACTTTTACACTTTTTCCCCCTAAAGAGAGTCAAAACATCAGTCAGCTGCAATAGCATATACTGCACAAATGAAGGTGTACAGGTATGGCACTGCGGGCATAAATCAATGTCTTCTCGCTCTCAATCATTCATCTTTGATACAGCATTGCTGCTCTTTTGTCTCTTTCAAACTTCAAAGTGTTTGAGACAAAGAAGGAGCCCCCCTCCGTATGATTCATCAAACTCCCATCATCCTCTGGATAAACAGCTATGATAGATATGTCTGCTTAACCAGACATTAAAAGAACCTTTTTTTCATCCCTTCTTTAGCACGCCTCGGCAACCGATCCCCAAACTTTTTCTTAAACTCTCCTGAACGTTTGAAACCATATAATTAGGAGGAACTGGTTTACCTGATTGTGCTGAGAGTTTGTTGTCTGGCATTCAGTCAGGCAGAGAGAGCTGTAGACAAAGATATCAGGCAGTGAGGGAAATAACTAGGTTTATTTTCAAGGTTTTGATTGAAAGGAAGCAGTAATCTTGGCATTAGCTTAGCATCACGGTGAGTGGGCTCGACTGGCTCAGGTTTCCCTCTGTGTGTCCCACGGTGTAAAAACCTGGGAACTGCAGGTAGGCGCACGCCCACCATCCGACCAACTGACTGTAACACAACACCTGCAAGGGCAAGCACATAACCACGTCTCAAAAACACTCACAACCCTCCATCACTGCAGCCTCTCTCTGCGGTGTCTTCGCACTCCATCCTTCATCATCACTCAGATTGAGCACAATAGTTCAGGGCTGAGGTTTACTCTGGCTCTCCTCACTTTTATTTTCTCCCGTACTGCCCTTTATGCTAGCAGGGTGTCGTAAATGCACATCTTTAGAAGTTGCCTGAGTGGGGTAACGCAAGAGGTTCGAAGGTTGCAGATGAAAGGCAAAAGATTCGGTCGAGGGTTTTAGCAGAAGGTTCACGTGTTTGAGGTTTCCTTCTAAACTCTTTGGTGGCGGATTTAAAAGCAAGTTTTAACCCCTCCTACTTCCCATCCAAAAAAAATAAAAAAAGTAATCAGGATTTGTAGGCGTGAAATGGTAGGCTGTTGAAGCTTTTATCACTTGAGAGGAACAACACTTGGTGAATTATGGTGTGAAAAGGAGAAAATAGCTAGAATGGAATGAAAGAGTAATTGTATCTTCCACCTTCCAAGTAATTATGCGTAAACAGGCTTTCTTCTAGTTTAATGTGCACTTGTTTTCTGCAAATTATACTTAGCTTTTCTTTGTGTGACTCTTAAATAAATCTGTCTTTTATTCTTGATCACACATATTTTTTCTGTATTGTTAGGGAATAGACAAAAGTATCTAGTGATCGTGATCCTAACACCCAGATACGGTGACCTTTTTTTGGATCCAAGAACAAATGCATTAGACGCTCCAAACATAGCGTGGTATGGTTTCATAGAAAGTCTCTAGCGTTGTCTGGCCTGGTTCACCTCAGCTCCCACAAGGGAAATATACAGGCATGATGTATGGCCCGAGCCACTGAATTAATGCAACATTTCCATTAGAAAAATTGCTTGACACGGCCGATATAAGAAGTTAGTGATCACAAAGAGGCTCTGACATAGCATGGAAAATTACTTATTGGAGAACCGTCATCTGCACTTTGCTGAAATTTGTGATGGAAGGCAGAGACAGGGAATGCAATATATGTGATCCTGTGCACGGGCTGCATCTCCTAATCGCTCATGCAACACTTAAAATTACACTTCGGCGCAAATGTAAATTGTGTTCTGATGCTTACAAAAACAGAAAGGAGGTGATTCAGATTTAATTTGACACTTTTTAAATACGAATTAGATATGATTTTGAAGTCTGAAGTACAACCAGACAACCAGTGCTCAGTGTAATGGTACACTGTAATTATTGCATGATTACTGTGCATATGAAATCTCGTGATGTGAGTCTTGGTTCCAGCAGCTTTATAAAAACACCATTGTACAATACGTCTTAGCTCTGTGCGTCTGAATTGCAGCTTTTCTTTTAAAACCTCTTCATTGTCAAGTATGGAACCCAAAGGTGGCTGTACTGCGTGTGTTCATCTGTTTCGAAATTACCTCACAAAAGAAAGCAGCATGTATTCTTACTTCCATTACAATATGTACTTTTTCACTTCTAAACCAGTCAGGCATTTAGAGCGCCACACAAACTTTCATTACGATTATGCAACAATCGGAACATTGGGAGGATTGTATTTCTTCTCCCTGAGCTGATCACATAACATTTTTAACTAGATTCACTCTCATCCTAGGGCTTTCCTTATATCCTGCTGCCTAAATGAACTTGCAGAGCTGCGCGGCGTCTCCTCGGCATTGATTTTGTGGTCTCATTATAAAGAATGCACCTCTCTTGTGGCACCAGTATTCATACAGCTCATTACATAATGCTGGCATTCAGTGTTTATTAACTTTTGCTTCAGCGCCTGCCATGCGAATGCTCTCAGTTTTAGGATGTGTTTGCCAGTAAAAAACACGGATCCACAGATCATGTGGTAAGAGGTTAATTCTTACCTGTTATTTGAGACCCCAAATATACTACATGTACCGAAACCCAAAGCATACCTCGAGTTTACTGTGGTTTCGTAATAATCCACCCTCATGGATGCTAGGGCTGTCATACTGAAAAAAAAAGAAAATTGGTGGATATTACAATAATGTATTATTGTAGGGTGTTTATCTTACAATATAAAACACCTAGAGGCCACTTTTGTGATTTGGTGCTTGAACTGACTTAAATATTCGTTAGCAACAGTGTCAACTCCTCTCCCTCCCCTCACTCTAGCAGCTGAACACATGAACTGTATGAGGAAATTTGAGAGGTCAGTAAAGACCCCCATTTAACAACTCTGAAATTATTATAAATGTTAACCTGGCACCTTAATGTTTTAACTATTAGCAATTACCTGATAGCTAAAATGGCTAATAATGTAACATTAAGGTGAGAGTTTCCCATCTGTAAATGCATTGGATGGTGTTAATTAAATGAGATATCAGGAGAATTTGTGTCTCAAAGGTCTTTCTTAAAGCCCCAGATTTCAGCTGAGTTCTGTCTACCAGCAAGTAGACAGAGATAGCGATAACCTGCCTAACCAACTCTATTTGAGACACAGTGTCAGCAGTGAGTCACCAGAAGCACACCAACACCTCAGACAACACAAATTTTTTTTTCACCCAGAAAATTATATTGAGTATTTTCCTGTGTATTTATATTAAGTTTGAAATTCTAGTATTGTAGGAACCTTAATGTATGCACAAACTTAAAGGTGCTTTTTAAAAAGTTTTTTGCAGACTTGCAACTCATTACGAGTTTGGGCGTGGCTTTATGAATAAAAATAAATGTTATTTATGCTTTACTTTATAAGACTAGAAATAAAAAAAACAACATATTTGTTCACATTTTATATTTTACATTAAAAATGTTACATTACCACGGGCTACCACTGAGTCATGGCTTGCCTTTGGACAAGCTTGCGTTTATCTTGTTATGAAACGTGTCTTACGTCTAGCTACAGTAGCATGTGCAGCGTGGGCATAGTGACACACTAATTACACTGATCGGCCTGGCTCTCATCAGGTTTACAGGCATAGACAGTGGTTTGTAAAGGATTACTAGGTTATATCACTTCCCTTGTGTTTCATTTAAGGCATTTTGTCTTCCTTTGCATAAATGTACTCATTTATCCATATCCTGTTCTCCTGCAGGGTACATTATTGGCAGTTAAGCCAAAATAGCATTCAAAAGTCTTCCCTTTGTCAGAGTTGGTAACTGTACTTGTTATATTGTGTTAGCTCATCCTTTGACAAACAGTAATAACAATCTCCGCTGCAGACTGACAACATTCAGAACTATTTGCAGGTGTTCTGTGTTGTGTAACAGATTTCATTTCCATACATTTTGTTTTGGACACTGGTGGGATGTCTCAGTGATCTGCCTGCTGGAGCATTGTCATTTCGTTCATTAGTACAGAGCTGGATGTGAGCTGCATCACTCCTACAATATGGTCTGAGGAGATAACAATTCAGACAGATTCATTCTGTACATTGGCAATACAACAGCTACTGTGGTACAATGCGTTGTCAGTAAGTGACTGCGGCCTCGTGCTGCGGCAGGATTGAATGTCCTGGTTTATCACAGATGATTCATATTGCTATTGGATATGATGCACTAACACAAAACAAGATACTCTGTTATCAGTATCACAATATCACGGGCTAACACAGGCCATAATTGTGTTTAGTTTATTCCATTCTCCATTATAAATATATGTTTCCTGTCATAAAAGAGCGAGCATCTGTGGGAGGAGTTTTTATTCTATTTTGAAGATGGATTTGGGGTTTGGTTGCGGGGTGTGCAGGGAAGTGAAAGAGAAAACGTAAGGTATACAGACACTGACTGAAAATGTCTGAGACAGATAATTAGAAAAGGACTGAGAATGTGTACTCGCGGTGTGCTTTTCTCTTCCTGATCCGTGGCCACCTTAATAGAGATTAGGATCATGCTCAGTCAGATCTGATAGGCCTGTTGCTGTGGAACGGAAGGCCAGCCAGTCAGTTATCAGCGAGGACACAGACTCAGTCACTTAGCATAATGGAACCTGCATCAAATGAACTGGGAGCTCAACGAGAAAAATGTCATTAACAGAGCTGAAATGATTTTGTGTGATGGTAAAATCAGCAAATTAAATCAAGGTGCATTTGCAGGCTTTATGACAGAAACAGATGCACATAACGTGTTATCCAGCAGCCTCATTTACAAGGTTACATGGCATTTATATACAGCATGTGCTTCTTTCTTTGGACCCATTACTTATGATATGTGTACGTTGATGTTCCAGTGTTAGCAGCACAGGGTTGTGAATTCTTGCAATAGCCTAAAAACAACTTCGGATTGATTGTCAAAAAAACACTTGAACATGCTGTAAAGTGTGCTGAATGGAAATATATAGTGATGACTGCATTAGGTACACAATGAGGCACTGACAGAGACTGTATCACACCTCGTAAAACTCTGAAGCACACCTATTATGAAGAAGCAGGAGGCTGCGAGATGTGAAAACTGCACCAGATGGATAGAACAACAGAAAATCATAACACCTCTTATTCAGTCCCTGCAGGCCACCCTCTTATATCCTGTGTCTGCTTTTCTCGTTTAGTTGCAAGCAGAGGGAAAGAATGCAACAAAAACAGCTGCATAGGTTGACCGTTAAAGCATGTGCCAATCTAAAACAACGACACAAAAGGCCACAAGAATTATGAATTTATATGTGGTATATTCTTTGTCTTTTTCTGGTTAGTCACAGATATGTGTGATGCAGGATTTTTAGATTTTTTACATACATGTCATATTGATTACAACTTTGTTTATTTAGTCAAGGTCCAGAAAGGAGAAAAGAAATGGAATTTCTTTCCTCCACATCTCCTTGAGCCTTTTATAACCATAGTAAAAACCATTTAGCGAGCCGTCGTTGAATATTGACTCTGAGACTTTTCTCATTTACAGCCCAGGCCTGTCGAGGAAAAGGGTTTGCAACTATCCAGCTCTTGGGCCAGAATACAGCTATTGTTTTATTGATTGCTCATCCTCTTTTATTTGTGGGGGAAAAAATACTCCGGGGACACAATGTCCCTCAGCTTCTTCTCCTATGCTTCTCTAAATGCCCACACTAATTTCTGCTGTGACTCAGAAAACTTATGCATGGATTGCTGCAAGTTTATCCTGCTTTCCCCTCTTCCTCCTAGTGAACTTTTTTTCTGCTTGTAGAAATTACATAAAAAATCATTTTAGGGCTCATGCATTTTGGATTTGGAAGTACCGCAGAAATGGATTTTTCTGTTATGCTTCTCCCTGCTGATGGCTCAGCTGATGTTTACTAAAGACAAGAGTCTGAGTTTCATTTAGTTCTTCCTGTATTGGGCACACATTTCTAAATATGTTGTCATATGTTTCCAACCCCAGGCACCCTAATTTAAAGCATTACTTGACTCACTAACCTTACAGACTTGAGGTCCCAGGTCTGTTTTATGACTAAGCATAGCATGAAAGGGTGCAGCAGTGCCTGAAGGCACCCTGCAGTTGGCCTTCATGAAGTGAGTTTCTAAGTAAAATGCGCATTATGCCGTGTGACAGTTTCAACACCCCAATCGCTGCTCCACAGGGCACCACTTCACTCATTCCAGCATCTGTCTCCATAGAGTTAATGCGGCATTTAGCTCAGTGGCATTCTGACTCTTTTTTTTAAAAAACATACATATCTTCCCTCAGTCTCAGTTGGTGTCGCTTGGCTGCTTTTGCTCTTTTGACAAGGTTTTAACTTAACAGCACAGACAGCTGATCTTTACTCAAAATGACCAACTATGTGTATTGACAAAAAAATGACCTGATGTTACAAGACATATTAAGAGCAAAGGGACAGGCAATATTAAGAAACTGAGATAGAAGAGTTTCAGACCAAAGAGATAATTGGATCAAAAGAGACAGAGAAGGCCATGTGCTACCAAGCATGTCCTTATCAGCAGCAATTTTCTCTGCTTTGCCCACACAGCTCTGTATCAGCTGCTTGCAGAGTGATTAGGGTGCCCTGCTAATATCGTCACAACCAATGATTGACAGGGCTGGAAAAAGCTCTGATATTTAAACGTGTAACCTCCTGTTTTTTGAGGGGGGGGGTCTCTTAAGCAGCCGTTGTTTGTGTGATGTGCGTTGGGCTTTGTGTTGGGGTGTGTGTGGTTGAATGTGTGTCACTGAGTGGGTCTTGTTTTGATTCATAAATGCCTTTTTCAGACGAAGCAAAGGAAAGGAGCAACCTACATCCCACATTCACCTTTTTCTTCTCTGCTGCTGTTCTCAGGGAGATTTAGAAATATAATTAGTAGAAAGAGAGATTCGAGAAAAGGAGGAATGATGTTAATAAGGGAAAAATGTTTTCATTATGCCTGAGAGAGGTAGTGAGGGAACATTTTGGGCAACTTGTTATGTGGGCCTGACAAAGAGCAATAAATCAAGACTTAGAACAAGAGTCTTTCTGACACTGGGTTAAGACGCTGCAGGTTAGGTGCTAAATGCTGAACATGTTCACATGCTAAGGTGGAAAAGTTTATCTGGCATCTACCAGATATATTAATTAATATTATATATATTATAAGCATCCTAATATTTGCTATTGTGCATACAAAGCAAATTATAGGCTGTTTTCATCTGATCATGGCACTAGATGATACAGGAAAGTAATTATCCAGTACGAAATATGAAGGGGTGCAGCAAATTTTACAAATTCATTTATTAAGCAATCAGGAAACATACTGGTTAATCTGCTGGCTTGATGTGTGCTAAAGGCTCTGGCCAGTTTGGGGGATTTTGGGTGTAGCCAGCACATGTCCTGGCAAAGATCTTAAGTTCTGTGCAGAAATTGCTAAAGCAGAAAAATGTAAAAATTTGTAATAAAAAACTAAATGGTCACCAGATTATAGCTAGTCATTATCCAGTGCATTTTGGCAAAAGCCAGCCCTCATTTGCACTGAGCATGGACTGTTAACTTGCATGCAATCAAAGCCTGCTGTGACTTGACTGATCAGTAGGGCATGGACTGCAGTGTACTTGCACTTTTCTAGTCTTCCTGATCACTCAAAGACTACAAGCTACATTCATACGGCGCTTTATTCTGCACACTTCAACCACTCTATCGGCCTTGGAATCATTCACGTCTTCAGACTGTGGGAGGAATACCTGGAAACCCGCGCAGGCACAGGGAGAACATGCCTGCTCCACACAGAAAGACGCCAGCTGGGTTTGAACCAGGAACCTTGTTGCTGTGAGGTGACAGTGCTAACTACTGCAGCACCATGCTGCCAAAAATGAACTAAGAAAAGAAAACAGATTTTTTTCCCACCAAAAACGTGTTGATTCCACTAAAAACAAAAGAATTTAGCATTATTTCAAACACAATACATACAGTTTTTTAAATGGCAAAATAAGTTTGCATTGCAACTGCTCAGTATTATGGTGGATTCACTAACTGCCTGACCAGTTCTGCCATTGCTAGAGCCATGCCCTCTTAGCAGCACAGTAACATGTCAGCAGTAAAATGCACGCTATTTCCCTTTATCATTTGTTTCTAGCATTTAAACTAACTCTACCTCTGTCTAATATATTTGTCTTGAGGGTTAAACATTTATCTGTTAGAGGTTTTCCAGGGTAAATTTGGAAGCTCATCTCTGGCCCAGCAGCCCAACAAGTTCCTGACCTACTTTCACAAACACTGTAGAGTGGTAGTTATCTCTTCTCATCTTTCTCCTCTGCTGATTTGTGCTGGTGGCGAGGTTGGTGTGATGTCAGTTTACTTTGGATCATTCTCAGACAGTGAACACGCATTAACCTTCCCTCCTTTTCCCCTCCCTGCTTTGCTATCTTTTCTTTTCCTTTCCTCGTGTCTCTTTTAGGTTTCACTTTTTTCTTTTAATCCTCATTTCTATATCTATGGTAATTTGCTACGAAGAGTGTCCTGAAAACGTCCTGGAAAAGGATATCCATTGCTTCACAACAGATAATTGTTTTTAATGATTAAGAATCACAGAGGCATGTCGAGGCCTAATAGCTGTTAGATCACAGAGGCAGTGTTATAAAGATAGGCACTTATCACCGGTCTCTGAATATCTTTGCTAGGTTACAGTTGTTTCAAGTTGGCACTTTGCCTCTCTATTCCCATGCTGTTCTCCTGTCTCTCTTTTTCCCCTTTTTTTCCCCCTCTCTTCGTCTTTTTGAGTCGTCTTTGGCTGTCCTCCAGAATCAATCCGTCACCTCTTTAAAGGGAGACGTTCTCGGATTTTGGCTTCTGTTTCCATAAAGAGCCTAAAGCGACAGGGTGCCTCATTCATGTCCACTTCATTGTCTTTTAATAATCAAACCATGATGGATTACCACCATACAGATATTCGTTTCAAAGCAGCATCTGAGGGATGAAAAACGAAGGAGGAACAGGAAAACACCAGTATGCTTTTTGATAGCTCAAGGATTGTTGTAGGAGTATGCATGCTAGTGTGTGTCTGTCTGTGTGTGTTTATATTGGATGCTAGTTTGGCTCTTGGTCTCAGAAAGACAGACAAGTTCCTCCTTCTCACTCTCTTTCCATTCGCTCTTCTTATCACGGCCTCTTGGGTTCAGGCAGACAGCTCCTCCTGTCTTTTCTCTCTGATTATCAGGCCAGGACTGACAAGGTAAACACCTGGCAAGGTATCCTCCCCATTTGGGAGCCCTAGGTGGTTGGATGTGTTCCATTTTTTTTATTCCCATATGGTGGATCAATGCATTGCTCTCACCTGTCTGTCTTTTCAACCTTCTCTGCCTGGTCCGATTCTCATCTGCTTTCATACTTCACCTCCAAACAGCATTTCTTCCAGCAGGCCTGTGAACAGGTGACATAGTGGATAGTAGTGGCATCTCGGTTAGGGTTTAGCAATATGATATTTCTGTGGCTGTGTTGTAAAAGCGTCTGGTTTTAGTGCGGTCTGGTGATGTGATTTGTGCTGTGTTAACACGCGTGTGTAAAGCCTGTTTCTTCTCTTTAACGCTGGGAGATTGTCACACAACAGAAACTTCTGAAGTTTTTGGAATTACCCTGCTGTCACTCATTCACCTTTAAAATCACTTTAGCTTTCATTGGGTTCCAGCAACTCTGAAAAGCAACAACCATACAAAGTACTACTTACTCTCAGACATACTTTTTTTTTTTTTTTTTACTGGTTTTACTGATGTTTGAACCCTTGCTTTATCTCTTGTTTGGAGGTATTTTGTCAGTTCTGATTCCATTTGTCCAGGTTTTGATCCCTCTCTTTTTACTTTTCTGCCTCTACCCAAGCACACTGCAGGTGACTCAAATCACAGAAACACAAAATGACTTTTAAAAAACACACACACACACACACATAATAGTTTCTCTTCTTCACAGAACATGTGTCAACAATTTTCTTTGGAACTATTTCTTCAGGAGTAGTTCCAAAAGGACTACACGTAATTAGGCCAACACTTTCATTACTACTGAAAATTCACAAAAGAGATAAAACGAATACTAATGTGGCCTCCATTATGTATATTGTGAAATTCCAATTACAGATACAAATGGCTGCAACTGCTGTAAATGTGGTGACTGACCATAATTACAGACACGTACCAGCACATTGCCAGTAAGCTACCCTTCTCTTTGGCATTCCTGTCATCTGTAAAACCTTCAAAACCAATCTGTGGACATTACCCAGATTGCCAAATATAAACACAAGCAGACTGCGCTCGTATCAAAGCTGTCAGACAGCATTTACCAGAAGCTGTTACTTTAAAACCTTTATATGGAACACATCCTCCATTCCTCGAGATGATCAAAAAGCCAATTGCAAAAACAAATGTCTCTTATACTCTGTAATGACAATGAGATGTTTGAAAATATCATCATCTCTGCTGTGCAATTTGTCTGATGAGAGAACATTAGGCACACCCACACAAGAGGTCTGTTCTGTAAAGCTGTGCCTTGTAAATCCACCTATACGTAGCAGCAATCCAAAGGCAAGGTCTCAAGTACAGACTGATGGCCGTGAAGTGAAGTTAAGTGCGAACGATCAAACACAAATACATGAGTATCCACAGGAGTGTGCAGCAATTGCAGCAAAGCTGTCATAAATAAACTCCTATCTGATCATACAGCGCTACAGTTACACTTGGTTAACGCTAACACACAGTTTGGGTCAAAATGTAGGAAACAAAAATAAAAAGCTGCCTTTTGTGTTAAATTCTGCTTTTTGTGGACCCGTCCACCCACCCAGACAGCTTCCCTCTTCAGGCTGTATGGCTTTGTACCAATTTCACATCACACTCTTCTGATAGACAATCCTCCTATATGGCTTTGTCTCTCAACAAAATTGTTGTTTTTTAGCTAACAGACTGTCGCTGCTGTTTCTCTTGGGCTACCAGCAAATTCAGAAGCATCAGTCTTTCATCAGCCGGTCTCCTCCACATGTAATTGAATGGCAGTCTCTCACTCCACTGCAATTAGCAAAGTGGGGACTTCAGAAGATGAACATTTGGGACCTTGTCAAGGCTAACTAGGTGTGTAGGTGTGTGATTGTGTGCTTTACGTTTGTTTGTAGATTTAACGAGACCGACAAACAAACCTATAGCTAAATGTTGCCCAACATTTCCTTCCCGTTCATCACCTAAAGCGCACTATGGCTGACCTTGTCTTTATAATAAATGTGTGTTATTGTGTTCATGTTTAAGCTCCAAGCAACCATAGTTAACATGTTGATGCAACAGCAGCAATAACATAATTAGGCAGCTAATTTGTTTATTGTTAAAGGTAATGCAGCTTGGGTCAGCTGCCCCCACGGGTAGCTGCCTGCATCTGTGATTGTTTGTCTTCTTCGAGATGTATGCGTTTGCTTATTGCTTTATCACTGGGATTTATGTGTGTTTTTTCAGGCTCTCTGCTTCTAGTTTTGCGCACCACAAGGCAACTGAGCGTGAATGTGCCCGCATGCACATGTGTGTTATTCATAAGATGATGTGGTACGGCGAGGGATTCTGGGGGGTCCTTGTGTTTTTATTACCTGCTGGCGGCCTCCTGCCAACATCCAGCTTGATTAACTCCACCCCCTCTCTCGCGCGCACACACAAAGTGCTACTTTATCACTACAAGTCTGCAGGAGTTGTAAAGGAGCAGCAGCTAAGGTTCTCAAAATGTTATTAGCTATTAAAAGCCTGAGTAGGAGACAAAGGGATCCACTGTTCCACTTTATTTCTTACGACACTTTGTCAACGAGAGCTTTTACAAAAGAGGAAATCCACACGCTCCCACCTGTGCGATTCAGATGTTTGCTAGCAGGTAATTTATTACCAAAGCTTGAATTGCGGGATGTTCTCGGTTTGCGCGCGTCTTTACAGATGTCTACAGTACTTTATAAAGGTAACATTTTAAATAAGAGTCTAAGGCACACACGGTAACACTCTCACACAAGGAAGCAATTTGCTCTTCCATAGAACAAGTGTAATTTGGTAAAGACAGACTGTGTCCCGCTGCCTCCTGTTACTCATGTGTGGCAGCTGGTAATGAAAGGGCCACTGGAAGTCTTAGGGGTTTCACTTAAGCCATTTTGTGCTCAATTTATTTTGTGTATCAGAGTAGGCAGTGTGAGATGGTTTGCCTAACAGTTTTTTACAACCCACTGATATAGATGGACGATGCGCCTCTCCTTAGGCGTCCACTGATTAAAAGAAATGTCTACTATATGATTAATCTCTTGATGTTTTAAAAAAATACAAGTACAGGATCTACGTGGAAGAAACAGGTATTTCCGACATAATTAGGTCCTATCTAAAAATACAATTATAGTTATTCCTCCTTACTGTACAGCGCTCACATCTTGATTTCATGGTCAGTGCAGCCTCCATCCATCATCCATTGAGTTAGGTCCCTATAGGGTAACCCCTCTGTCTTATGCCACTTTCTGCTCATCAATCAGTCAATTACTGGAGGAGTTCAGGGTCAAAACTCAGGCCACACATACATTTAAGCCCTCTAAAGTTGTTCATTGTACTGTGTAGAAAAAGCCCATTTTTATTTACAATTTGTATAAAGTCGCAGTGCAAGCTCAGCTCAGTCAGCCTGTACTGTATGATGAAGGAAAGCTGCAGGAAAAATCAGTTTTTGTATTTTTTTTCCCTTCATAAAATATAGTAGTACATAAAAAAACGAGTGTAAGGATAAGAGGACTAGACCAGGGAGTGAGAAAGGAGGGAGGGGAATGGAGCGGCTTGTGAGATCAAGGTCGTATCCAGGCTTTAGTATTGGTATTCTCCTCAGTGTTAAAATGATTCTACCAGTGAATAGTGTTTTCATTCCTCTCCTGAATGAGATTCACAGGAGCATGGAGAGAGAAAGGGGGAACAGGAGATGGAGAGAGAGCGAGAGAGAGAGACATGACAAAGAAAAGAGAAAGCTACCCCTCCCCTCTCCCTCTTTTTCTCCCCCCTTCCTCCCTACAGTTTGTGCTCCCCTTGGACATACAATAGCAAATGAAAATACAGCGTGGGATAAACAACTTTTATCAGACTGGAGCAAATGAAATCGACTATTTTATTCAATTCTTCATCCCTGAAGCATCCCTTACTCCATTTACCCAGCAACCTCACCCCTGCAGTTTCATCAGAGAAAAAAAAAAAGAAGGTGCTTTATGCAAATCAAATGCTTTATTCTTGATTAGATTACAGACGCAATAATTGTCTTGGATGATTTATGGTTGTAATTGGTTGCCACAAACTGCTGCAACAAAAGCTCAGTTGCCATGGTTTGTGCTATGAAGACATTACATCAACAGATTTTAGGGTATCTCCTATAAAATCCACTTCTGCAGGCACATATAAGTTACATTAGAAAAATTAACTTGCTGAGCATGTGGAGTTTTCTAGGTTTTTTATTACTTAAGTTAAATGATGATGTCCACAGTTGCACTTTTCCCCCACCACAGGCCATATAAAAGATGGACAAGGTTTAAAGGTCTGAAAATGAAAGTTTCTTAAATTTCCATGTGTTTAATGACCAGCAGGGGCCACTTCTCTGGTTGCAAAAAGACTTTTGGTTGTATAGACGTCTATGGGGAAAAGGGCTACGGCTCCTGTGCTTTATGACCTCAGTAAATGCTTTATGGGCTAAATGACTAATTTCAGGTCATACTGAATAGAACATGAAGGCTTTTCTATAAATTATGGTAATTCTAAGAGTCAGGAAAGAGAATTATCCAGGATATGTTAATTAGCTACTGACTTGTGCTTGACAAGTTGTTAGCCTAGTCCCAGTCCCTTATCTGTCATAGCGCCAGAAATGATTGCTGCAAAAAAGGCCTCGCTAACCAGTGGGTGATGTAACTATGGTTACGTTCACTTTTTGTATAGTGTCTTTGGTTTTTGCACATGAGGGATCTCCCTTCACCTCAGCTTTGGAAGATCAATGGCCAAGCTACGAGACCTGGAGTGGTTAATTAATTTTCCCAAGGGGCCACAAGAAAAACTGGGGTTATTGTGGAGGGCCTCAGCAAGAAGCTTATAAAGAGATAAAATTAATAATGAGCCGAACTGGGTTCCTTTTAGGGTTGTGGCCCTCCACAACAGTCCCAGTTTCTCATGTGGCCCCATGGTGAATTGAATTGCTCACTCCTGTATTAGACAGTGCCACAATAGATGATTAAAATTGACTCTCCCTCTCCTACAGCCTCCTACATCATGCAAACACTAAGCTGAACCTGATTGGTTGAAAGCCTCATGGTGGCTGTCTTCTCATGGATTATAAAATGTAACCAACATGGTGGATCTTTGACAAACTTTTGAGTCTGGCAAAATTGTTTTTGAAAACACTGGAAAGAAATGAGGAGAGTTGAGAATCAACTTTCATTTTACATCGACAATGGATGGATAAAAAGTTTGGGGGGAGTTTCCAGAGTCATACTATACATCCCTAACTTGCATAAATGAGGAGCAAATGACTCGACAGCCCATCGTTTGAAACCCAGCACAACCCTATCAGCATGCATTGCTCGGCTGGAATAGAAGAGATGAATGGTGAAGCATGGAAATGATGAATCCTGTGAACAGATACCACGTGTGGAGACCAAATGCAAAAATAAAAAAGATGAATAGGAAATAATGGAAACAGTTCTCCAACCAGAGCAGTGCTGAAAATGAAATATTTAATAGCCAGACTTGTAATTGAGTCCGTAGAAGTCATCAACCTGTAGGAGTTAGGACATGGGATTGCTACCTTTGTAAGAGACAAGTGGCAAATTAGGTGCCTGCCATTCCTTTCCATTATCAGGTGCTGCTGATACTTCTCAGCAGGCTAATCTCACCGAGAGCTCTTACACTTCACTAAGACCCTGTCACAGACAGAGTCAGTGAGAGAGAGAGAGAGGCACAGAGATCTTCTCTGCTTGACATCGATCTGTGACGCATATCACCACCCCTAATCCAATTAATTTTGTTTTGCTTCCATCGTGGCTTACTTGAGTCATCAAAATTGCATACACAAATACATCTCTGGCACACTGCATTGGGCCATACAAAATGCACAAACAGCTAAATCTGGTAGAGTGAAAATTCTTTGGGTAATTCCTTTCTGTTTCTGCCTGTGATCGAGTCTCCAGCCTTCCTCATTACTTTGTTTCATGCAGAACCCAAGAAGGAAAGCAATTTATGAAAGAGTTAATTGAAAACACTGTTTGACAAACTCCTTTTTTCCCTCCTTTCTTCCCCTTCTGTCATCCCTCTCCACCTCCTCCTTGTCCACCACTTCTGCCTCTCTTTGTACAGGCTGAGGCAAATCTCTAGTAGAGGACCAGCAGCAGCAGTGTTGGTGCGACCATGAGGTCAGAGGCCTTGTTACTCTACTTCACACTACTGCAAATAGCCGGGGCGGGCTTCCCCGAAGACAGTGAGCCTATTAGCATCTCACACGGCAACTGTAAGTATATCCTTTTTCTTGCTTCTCTTCACTTTCTTTATGTCTTTCTTTCGTTCTCTGCTTGAGCACCGTCCCATCTCTCATTACAAGTCCTCCCTCGCTCTCTGCGTGCACTCTTTTCCCTTTCCTCTTTGTTTTGTACTTCGCAAATCCCCTTCTCGATATCTGTGTCACTTGTTCTATCCTTTTTCACTCGTCCACATCCCTCTCAACACTTCTTTCCTCAGCAACCCCCACCATCCCCTACACTCAACGCATTCTGAAGGCATGGAGTGTAATTTGGCGCCCAAGGATAGCCCCTCTACACACACAAAAACGAAAGACTTAAGGCAGAATTTGAAATGGAGCCCACCCTACATCAAAGGATAATCCGCTATTTTTCTGTTGGGCTCCTAATGCTGTGTGTGATAGTGTAAATGCTGTGGCAGGCTATAAAGATATGGTCATTGTTTCTGCTGATTCTCTATGTGTCTCTCCCTGTCCTGTCCTGCTGTGCTCACTTTGGGCTTAACGCTGTCTGAGGGAACTGAAACGCAGGCCAGAAAGCCTCACATAGACCTGCGCTCCTCTATCACAGTGTTTATTCAAACTAAGCGCTTTCATCCAAAGCCACTAACAATAGAACGATTGCATGGTACAGTGCAGCATATTTTTAGCCTACAATTTATGGTTACACGAGAGCCTCAGCTGACAATTGCGGTGGCGTTTTCTTATCCAGCAAAGACACATAGGTTGACATTTGACCCCAAACTCCTGGGACGTATGACAAAAGCTTTGAAAGCCAAATTACAAAATCCCTCACACGAGCTACAATAAGTGGGCACACACAGGGATTAATTTTTGTCCTCCTTCTTGCAGACACAAAGCAGTATCCAGCATTTGTAGGCCACAAACCTGGAAGGAACAACACGCAGCGGCACAAACTGGACATTCAGCTCATCATGATTATGAACAGGACATTATACATCGCTGCCAGGTGGGTGATAGTACCTCAATTTGTGCAGTTTTAGAGAGACAGGCATTAATTCTGCTTTCATTTATGGAATAATTACAAGGAATAAATTCAGGCCATTGTAAGTTAAGCATCTTCAAGATTATTTTATTCTTTATGACCTAATACTAATTACAGTTGCTTTGTGAACTCCTGTTTTAGCTCAATAAATGTAAAACCCTCACATTTTGAACCATCAAGCTGAACTTCGGGGGCCTGCTGCGCTGGTTTCTTTTAAAGTTTTGGTTAATCAGGAGGGAATAATTCAGAGCAAAATGCTGAGACCTGAAATCACTTAGCAGTCTGGACTTTTTCCCTTCATTACCTCTTTGTTGTTTTCTATTTTCAGCTCACCGTCTGCCAAATCCCTCTTTACCTTGTACGATGTCCCTATAGACTTGTGCCCTGCTTTTTTAAAAAAAAACATCCAAGCACACAAACACAGAGAAAAACTGCAGATAAGTTAAAAACTAATGTCAAAGAAAACCATTTTTTTTCTGCTTTTTGTGTTGTCAATAAACAGCAATACAGGACATACAAAAGGTATTCTTTCATTTTATGGCGGCCTAGTTGCTCTCAAAAATCGATTTTTTTTTTTAAACTCTTTGTCGCTTTGTCTGGCTGACCCCCACTCCCCAGTCTGTCACCTACCTTTATTGCTTTTTGTCCATCCATCAATGGGTTTTTCACCTGTGCATCTTTATTTGGGTGTGACTCATTTTTCCTGAGATAATATAACTCACTTACAGCATCTGGAGCCATGGAGAAAATCAATATTGATTTTTGTCTTTCCTCTTGTCATCAGTATTTTTTAAAAATGGCGATGTTGCTTCGCCTCATTGCAAAGTGAGTGGTTTGACAACCAGTCAGCTCCATTAACAGGCAGGTTTACCTTCAGCATATAACATTACAGTAGCATTAAAAAGGCCTTAATAAAACTGATCCTTATGTGCTTGTTCTCTGCCCTCCATAGCTAATTGAGTGGCAGGCTTGATTGGATCCTGTTGAAAGCCACAATAGGGGTCTTTCTTTGTTTCCCTCCGAAGCATGTCAAATTAAGTGGCTGAGGGAGGCTGCTGCTTTAAGAGAGCTGTTTTTTTAACATATCTCTGGTCATTAAGAGGAGGTGTATGGAGAGCGAGAAAAACCAGACTAAAAAAAGAGAGAGACTGTGTGTGTGTGTGTGTGTGTGTGTGTGGTGGTTTTTCCAGAGACTTTGGTCTGCCTGTCGCCCACCTGCTCCACATGGGGTGGCAGGGCCTTAGGGATAAGGGAGGGAAATGAGACACATGGGGTTTATTGGAGGGGCTTGACTGTGTGTGTGTGTGTGTTTGTGTGTAAGAGAGTGAGTGAAAGAGGGTGCGTATATGTGTCAAGTTTAGTATGCTGACCAGTTGTCTGATGGCCACATGTGTGTAAATAAATATATACATTCAAGGGTAGTGAACATGTGTGCTGGTGGGTGTGGAAGCTAGTCTGTGATCGTGTCTGCAGTGGCTTGCATGTGTGAGGTGACCCGGTGCAACAGTCCTACACTTGCTAAAAGCAGACACATGGCCGAGGTATGTGACCCCCGAATGACTGGAATGGCTGCCTCAGATTAGACTGAGTCGGATGACCGCCATTGATCCGGACACAGGGAAGAATGCTGGAAGTCGATAAAATGGACACACAAACGACGGCCCTTCCTCAAACATCCATCGGCTCTAACAGAATGTCGATAAAGACACGTGAAAGTTAAATGACAAACAGTTTAAGGCAAACAGCACAGACAATTACCACTTCAGAAATCAATGTGAAAGTGAGCCAGCAGTTCACCCAGCAAGACTCATGCCACGAAACAACGCACAATGGTGGAAACGAGCCCCCCCACAAAAAAAACTAGGCAACATCAATAGTTGCTTTTATGACGGTTGTCCAGTCAAATGGCTTGTTTATTCTGGAGCCAGCGTCACACAGCTCTGCCATCATGCCTCTAGACCAGTGAGCCTCAGTTCTTGGTGTGCAGCAGCTTGCAGATGGCCACTGTGAACGCAGTCCAAAGCCCAACACTGTTTCAGGCTGTTTTTTGAATGACTGCTCAGTGTATTAAATCCCTTTGGCTCCTGTTTTGGTGCTGGCAAAAAAATCACAAGATTTTTAAGCTGTGAGATGCATACAAACATAGCAACTAATGAAATTGTAAATAGACAAAAGTGCCTTAATCCATAGAGAGAAAGAGTCAAGTCTTTGGCAATGTGTGAACTGAGCAACAGATGCAGCGATTGATAATTTATCCTTAGTTTTAAGTCTTGAATGAAGTGTATTGATATGGTGAAATCAGGCGATCGAGACCTGTTTTAGCCAGTGTGTCTGTACAAGTGTAAAGAAAATAGCCTCTGCTAATGAGGTCATATATCTCTTCTAATATTTGTAAAACACCATTAGCCTTATTAGACTCTTATATATTGGGTGTTAATTATGTATTCAGTTCATGACTGCTGTAGGTTTTTAATATTATGAATATGATTCCTTGGCCAAGTTTCTATCAAGCGCATTATCCAGAGGGATCCTACAGCTTGATAACATATCTGACTGCAGTCTTTTCATATGCAGCCTTTTAAAAGCCCGCTTGTTTGTTAGGATTTAATAAGACTGGCACTGGATTGAGTATAGTATTGATTTCTTTCACTTTAACTTAAATATTTTCTCTTATCAAAAGGGATGCATAGCAGATCTTCTGCTAATAAGATCTTAAAGAGAAATAAAGTAGAATAGAAATACAACATGGAAGTTATGCCAAGAGGTGTTTGTAAAGTCATACTAATGACCATTAGATTCAGCCTTGCAGCAAACTAATTGCTTTGAAGCAATCAACAATACATTGTCCATGATAAACTGAGACATGGTGTATACTAAAGTGCAGGTAATGAACATGAAAACATCTTAATGTGCAAGCTTGGTGGTTTATGCGTGTCTGCTGTCATGTGTATTTTAGATGTTTAGCAGCAGAGTCACGTTTGGTAAAAGCAATAATTTGTTCAGTGAGAGACGGACGCGGGAGGACTCGCATCCCAGAGGTCCATATTTCATGGTCAGGGTACACTGTGTACTCCATTCAGAGGGAATTCATCATGGTGCAGTGGGAGATTCATCATTGTGATCTTTGCACGTGTGTGTGTGTGTCAGAGTAATATGGTTTTGTGTGTGTGTCTTCAGCTGTAAACAAAATAGCTCGTCACAAACCTCCACTTTCATGAGAACTGCTTTTTAGTTTGGAAACTTTGCAAACTAAGTCTAACCTTAAAGAGACTCGGTTACTTAAACATTTATTTTATTGTTTTATTACTTTTTGTTTAGATCAAGTTCTTTTGGGATATATTTTTTGTAGTTTTCAGTGACATCTTGGCAAATTTTGTTAATCCTGTGCTCCCCAGTGAAATTGCTGGACTCTGGAGAATGTTTGATTAGGTGAAACAGATAGACCGGCTCTTCACATGCGAATATATGAAAGAAATGGGATCACCAAGACTTTCTGTTTGGATGCTTTAAAAAAAGCTGTTGTTCAAGGTAACCACTGTTTTTGCCAATTGCTCTCCACAGCTGTTTGCCTGCATGCAACCAAAGACTGCCCAAACCTGTTTGATCAACAGAACTCAGACTATAAGCAGTTTCCAGTACCAGACGTCTCATCGACTGCCTACAGATTCTCTATATTCATAAGGAGACAGTCTTATTAACACTCTGCTTTTATCCCCTCACAATGTCTAACCACCTTTATTTGGAGGTAAATAGAAAGGATAAGGGCAAAATAGTGGTCATAATCACCCACTGCTCAGCAAAACCGTGTGTGTGTGTGTGTGTGTGTGTTTGTGGACATCAAAGGCAGGTGCAATACTTCAACTTTGGATGAAGAAGTCAGTCTAGAAATTTCAGAATTGCTTACAGAAGATAGACGTATGGTTTATATATATATATATTTTTTTTTATTTGGCACATAAGTTAAACTGACATGGATATTTGTTTAAAGTCTGTACGATCATGTCACGGCCTGTTTCCAATATGTCGTTTGCCTAGTGTTGCCAGAGGACGTGATGGCTGAAACTATGAATAGGTGTCTCAAAGGTTCACGCCAGCTGGAGAAAAGACATGGAGAGCATGATAAAGACAGTCCATACATGCTTGTGCTTGTGGGTATGTGTGAACGCGTTGCTATATACCCTGCCTTGCGAGCATACCCTAGACCTCTCCACATGCAGGGCATAGTCGCCATTCCTAGGCCACAGTCACCCTTCACCATGGTAACACCAACCACACTCTGTTTACACCCCTCTATGAGGCTGCGAAGCATGGGAATCAGAGAGATAGAATGTGTATGTGTGGGACGGACAGAGAGAGAGGGAAAGAGAGAGTGATCGCCGTGAGTGAAAGACCAAAACTTGTGATTACAGCGAGACATGCTCACAGACGCGCACTCAAAAATCCTGATTACCTTGTCTCCGTTGAATCCTCTAGAACAGCCATGCCTCTGTGGCTGCTGTTCTTCCCTGTTGGGTCTCTTTGGGTCTCGCAGTGGAGGCCACTAGAGTCTCTATTATTGTAGCTCCACCAAATCCTGTTAAAACCCACTAATGATGGGGATTACACGGTTGCCTCCTCTCCCTCTCCTCGCAGCACCGACGACATCCAGCTATGTCCACCCTCTGAACCAACTTTTGCAGCTTCGGTAATCATAATCACCTGAAATGAAAATTGGAACAAGTTTAATTTCATAAAATAACTCTGCAAGCATGTAGAAAAAAATGTCCTTTCACCCATTCTTTGGACATTTGCTGCTGATCATATGAGAAAAATATTTACACAGCCTGACTGGAGTATACTCCTGCACTAGAATTAGTGCCACATTGTTCTCATAGCTTGTCTGGTTAGCTAGTGAGGAGTATTCTGGGTAATAGCAAAAGGCACTGAGATGCTACAAAAACTTTATTTGAGAGTATATGAAAATG